GAGCCAAAGAATATTCTCAAGTATTAGCAGTTGAGTTGTCAATTCAACCACACCTGGATAACTTAGTATTTGCATTAAAGTATTTAGTAGCAAAGTAGTATGATAGTAATGGTAACAGTGATAAAGGTAACGATAGCAGTTTTGTAGTGATTGTAACAGCAGCAATGGGAAAGTAAATAAGCAAGGCACAATATGTGAAAAGCTCGTAGCCATTGGATCAGTGATGGATAATTATGTAGGATGCAATTCATCATGTAATAGTTATAACATAGGGTGACACAGAACTAGCTCCAGTTCATCAATGTAATGTAGGCATGTATTCCGAATATAGTCATACGTGCTTATGGAAAGGAACTTGCATAGCATCTTTTGTCCTACCCTCCCGTGGCAGCGGGGTCCTAATGGAAACTAAGGGATATTAAGGCCTCCTTTTAATAGAGAACCGGACCAAAGCATTAACACATAGTGAATACATGAACTCCTCAAACTACGGTCATCACCGAGAAGTATCCCGATTATTGTCACTTCGGGGTTGTCGGATCATAACACATAATAGGTGACTATAGACTTGCAAGATAGGATCAGGAACTCACATATATTCATGAAAACATAATAGGTTCAGATCTGAAATCATGGCACTCGGGCCCTAGTGACAAGCATTAAGCATAGCAAAGTCATAGCAACATCAATCTCAGAACATAGTGGACACTAGGGATCAAACCCTAACACAACTAACTTGATTACATGGTAAATCTCATCCAACCCATCACCGTACAGCAAGCCTACGATGGAATTACTCACACACGACGGTGAGCATCATGAAATTGGTGATGGAGGATGGTTGATGATGACGACGGCGACGAATCCCCCTCTCCGGAGCCTCGAACGGACTCCAGATCAGCCCTCCCGAGAGAGATTAGGGCTTGGCGGCGGCTCGTATCATAAAACGCGATGAAACTTTCTCTCTGATTTTTTTCTTCGTGAAACGGAATATATAGAGTTGGAGTTGAGGTCGGTGGAGCATCAGGGGGCCCACGAGATAGGGGGCGCGCCCAGGGGGAGGGTGCGTGCCCCCACCCTCGTGGACAGGGTGTGGGCCCCCTGGCCTTGATTCTTTTGCTAGTATTTTTTATATTTTCCAAAAGTTATCTCCGTGGATTTTCAGGTCATTCCGAGAACTTTTATTTTCTGCACAATAAACAACACCATGGTAGTTCTGCTGAAAACAGCGTTAGTCCGGGTTAGTTTCATTCAGATCATGCAAGTTAGAGTCCAAAACAAGGGCAAAAGTGTTTGGAAAAGTAGATACGTTGGAGAAGTATCAGACCCCCAATCTAGGCCCTTGTTGGTCCAGGATGCGAGCCACGGCGGAGGTCCAGATCTGAAGGCAGGAGCAGCGGCCCACTTGGTGCTGCGGGGTTCGGTGATGTAGAACCACTCCTGCTGCCACACCTTGACAGTGTGCACAAATCTTCCTTTGGGCCAACTAACATGGTTGAGCTTGCTCACCATGGCGCCACCGCACTCGGCGTGTTGGCCTTCGACCACCTTCAGCTTCACATTAAACACCTTGAGCCATAAGCCGAAGTGTGGAGGGACGCGCAGAAATGCTTCACACACGATGATAAACGCCGAGATGTGGAGGAAGGAATTCGGGGCCGGATCGTGGAAATCTAGCCCGTAGTAGTACATAAGGCCTCAGGCGAAGGGGTGAATGGCGAATCCGAGTTCTCGGAGGAAGTGAGGGATGAAAACCACCCTTTCGTTGGGCTCCGGGATGGGAATAACTTGCCCTGGGGTTGGAAGCCTGTGTTTGATCTCCGCCGTCAGATACCTCGCCTCCCGTAGATCCTGGATGTTCTTCTCCATTACGGAGGAGACCATCCACTTGCCCTGAAAGCCAGATCCGGCCATTGCTGGAGAGGTAGGGGCGGAAGGAAAGTTTGGAACTTGGCCGCTGGAGCTCGGGGGATTGGAAGGCAGAGGAGGAAGAAGGCGTGAGGTGAACAGATGGGTCTTTGTCCTCTTATAGAGGCAGCGAATATCAAGCGCCCCTCGTAAGCCCTAAATCTCGCCTATTCCCAAGGATACGTGTGAATGGCACGATTGGATTACCCAAAACCCCTATTGATGAGAATCCCTTAATAAGGGGACACGATCTCTGCTTTGACAAGATGTGTCATTGGCCATGCCTCGAAGTGCGAAACGAGGCTGTAAAACGGTTAAGAATAATAATAAGGCCAGAACATAACGTCTCGCCAAAAAAGTGCCCTGTGGACATGACTTATTGTTGCTTTTTACAACTTAGGGTTGTACGTGTTAAGCAAGGCCGGACACAACTCTTGTGTGCGGAAAACTGTGTTGGAGTATTCGAAAAGGGGAACCCGCCTTGCAATGCCGAAGACAATCTGTGCGCCGGATACATCGTCATTGAAGGCTAGTTCAGGGGCTACTGAGGGAGTCCTGGACTAAGGGGTCCTCGGGCGTCCGGGCTATGTGATATGGGCCGGACTAATGGGCCATGGGGATACGAGATAGAAGAACATTCCCCGTGTTCGGATGGGACTCTCCTTTGCGTGGATGGCAAGCTTGGCATTCGGATCATGTACCTTCCTTTCTCTGTAACCGACTATGTACAACCCTAGATCCCTCCGGTGTCTATATAAACCGGAGGCTTTAGTCCATAGGGGCGAACACAATCATACGAGCTAGACATCTAGGGTTTAGCAATTACGATCTCGAGGTAGATCAACTCTTGTAACCCCTATATTCATCAAAGTCAATCAAGCAGGAAGTAGGGTATTACCTCCATTAAGAGGGCCCGAACCTGGGTAAACATTGTGTCCCCTGCCTCCTTGTTACCTTCGATCCTTAGACACATAGTTCGGGACCCCCTACCCGAGATCTGCCAGTTTTGACGCCGACAGCCACCCTCACCCGCCGCCGCCAAACGGCACCGTCAGGCAAAGCTAGCTCCTTCCTCTTCGGTCGGTGCTTGGCTGGCAGGGACTGCTGTCCGACGGAGACGCTGAGTTGGTGCAGGGCTCAACGGCGAGATGACGAGTGATTGGGGTGGCGGCGGTACGACGCCCCCAGTGCCTTCCTGTGGTGGAGCGGCTGCACAGAGCTTTCCTTGAGGGGTTGGGCGTGTCCAGGGCAAGTCTACGGCGGTGGCGGCATGCACCCCAGATTTGTCGGCTTGCTACCCTTGGGCGGCGTGGGCTGCGGTTGACGCAGGCCTGTGGCCTCCTCCATGGCGGTGCGGCCCGGTGGAGGCTATGGTGTGGAGGAGCTCGCTAATGGTGGCGTCACTGCTGGCCATTTCCAGCCGGCTCACGCAGCTGTGGCGGTGGTGCGGGCCGATGGAGCTCGATGGAGCTCACGACATCGTCTGACGGCTGGGTTCTGGTTGGTGGTGCAAGGTGGCAGTGGTTTAGATCTAGCGTTCGTGCTCGGGTAGGAGAGGTCGGGCTTGGTCCGAGATGTGCTCGCGGGATGGTGCCCTTGCTCTCCTTGCGGGTATAGTGCTCGGTGGTGGTGGTCGTCGTGTTAGTGTTGCGTTGGTGCACGGATCAACGCCGGCGAGCATGGGCATGGCGTTGTGTGAGCTCGCCTGGCCAAGGGCTTGGGGCTGGCTCACCGGCGGCCGTCCACAGTCTTGGAGTCATGTCCCCCCTCCCCCAGTTCACCGGACATTGCTGGGGATGCAGGCGTGGATGCCTCCTACGATGGAGGCACCTACCCAGACTCGAGGACTGATGTCGAGCTAGGAGTTGATGGAGTGTCATCACTCTTCCTATTGTGGTTAAGTGCGTTGTGATTTGAGTAGCGTATGGTATCTCACGACAGGGATGCCGGGGTGGCAGCCCCGGATGGCGGTCCGCATGGTTGCCCTTCGACGGGCATCATTGAGGTGGCGGTGGCGCTCCTCCCGGGTTGTGTGGGCATCAGGCGGTATTGTGGTGGGTAGTTCGGGCATGCCTTCTCTTTGGCGGGGCACCGCCCTGATCCAGATCTGGGAATTGGACATCGCTGTGTTCCTCCTAGCGGGCTTATGGTGGCATGGATGAGTTGCCGAGCGAAAGCTCCGTGCCTTGGCACCGATGACGACGACACTCGTGGGTGCCGCACTCTTCTTGAAGATCTCGTTGTGGTTCTTCTCTCCGTGTCAAGGCTCTCGATGAAAACCTTTGTCCGGTGTGGACTCGGCAATGGCGACGCTCTGCGCCGTTTTCCCTCTTGGGGGCATTGTCGTGGAGCTTAGGTATGCTAGGTCGTAGCGTGGGGGTGCTTAGGTGTTTTGGTGCTCGTTGTTGGTAGCGTAGTCGTAAGCGTTCTAAGTGTGCCGGTTATCTCAGGATCGGCTTTGTAAGAGGGCTACCTCACCATCTCGTATCGTTCCGTGTACTTCTTTGGGTGTTGCTTTATATATAGAGTGGGGCGAAAGCCTGTTTCAAGAGAAACTAATCGCTGTTGGGGGGATGAGTGCTGCAACAAAGGTTCATTCTTTTCTTCTTGAGATATCACCACCAAGGCGATTCTCAACCACTAGTAGTATACTTTGAGGCGGCGTCTAAACCTTCACAAATTTTTCAGGTGGTAAATCATAAATTAATTCCTCGTCGAAGAACTCCTATCGTTTAGGAGTCTCCAACCTTCAAGAGTGATAAGAACAAATGGGAATGCTCGAAACTTGCTCAAATAAAATAAAATGGTAAAACATGATGCACACGGAGGCAGCGACGCAGGAAGGGTGTACAAACTTTTCAGGAATTAAATCACAAGTTGATTCCCCTTTTGCTGTCAGTCTGAAAAGAACATGAACAGGGAAATGAAACAAACTTAAACTATTCTTAGTTACTTCTGCATAAATGTTTATAGGGTGTAAAAACTGAGTGCTTGACGGCATGAAATGACTGCAGTGTGCTAAATAAGAAAAAATCATGAGTCCATGGATGTTCAGAGGCCCTGACATGAAAATTGCCACTGTTACTTGTAGTCTACTCCGGCGGATCAACGTAGGCCAGTATACCATACACGGTTTGCACAATTGTGCAGACTAGCACAATGACAGCGGCACAAGCAGCTAAGGCCAACCATGGATTGCTGAAGTGATTTAGCCACAGCCATGCCATCCAACGATTGATACGATTCTGGTAGTGAGCTTCTAAGATCTGGTACAGAGATTTTAAGTAGCAGTTACCACTGAAATCGAAGACCACGTCTTTACTCAGCATGGTGAAGAGATCAGACACCTTATCATCACTGTCAAGTTGGTGCAAGATGATTTTTCTCTTAGCAAGCAGTGTAACATCCTCTGGCATGCTTATAAGCTGGGACAGGAATACAATATAAGCAGTTAAGTCATCCCCAAACTGAGGACAGGTTTGTTCAAACGCAATAAGGTTCCTGAAAAGACCCCCCGTGTACTCATCCATAACAACGCACGGAATCTCCACCACACCATTGCGAAACCGAATGTCTAGTAGAGAATGAGGGTCGAGTGTATCATATTCCCTTCTCTTAAATTTAATTCCAGCCTCTAGATACTGTGCAGCTCGTCGCCAGCGATTAAGCTGATCCCCACCTTGTGGTAGACCCACTTCATGGTGGGATGAAGTATCATGATCGTTGTTATCCAGATAATAACTTAATCTGAAATACTTCCGTCCAAAACTGAGATATCTGTGAAAGTACCGAGGTTCAAACTTATAATTATGGTCTTCCTCTGGTCTCTGGCTTGGTAGAAAATAAATATGACACAGGTGGAGCAAATGTTGAAAATGTTTTGGTCTGTCAGAGCCCACAATTGCTTTGGGATACCAACGTAAAGCAGATTCAACATACTTAGCAAGTTCGTCTGTCAAACAAGGAGGTGAAGCACAGCCAACTGTAACAAGCTCAAATATTGTTTCCAGAATGAAAAAGGGTATCTGGTTTTCCAGCAACAGTATGTCGTGATTGATAAATCTAATAAACCAATACCCAGTTTGTTCGCTGTACTGTTCTCCAATGTTCTCTTCTCTATCAGTTTGAATGTTCTCATGGCATGCCTCAATATCCTCTGTTACGGCATCACCGTTTCTCACATGCTCTGGATATCCCCCACTAGCAGTTGTTCTTTCTTGGGGATTAGCAGATTGATATTGTTCTAGTCTATTTTGCACCAGCCCTGTTACAACTCCAAGAGAACACAAAAGGTAGCACCCATCAAGTAACAGCATTTGCAGAAAACTCTCGCTATCCATGTTGATGTCTTCGGAATAACAGTTTCTTGCCTGTTTTGCTAGCGCCCCCACTGTTGTCAAGTAATCCAACAAATTCTTCTGACAGCTCAGTCTCATGATTACATCCAGATATCCCCATTTTACATGTTCCATACCTAACAAACTTGCAGATCCATGGTGGTACGGGCCAACTGATACAATACAGGGTTCGTATGCAAATCTATCAGTGTCACGGATATGTTGCTGGACCTTGTAAATTACACATTGGTCTTTTCCACAATGACGTTCAGCGCCCAATGACCAATAATAATCAAGTTCTTGAGTCATTGATCTTACCAGTTCATTTATGTCCACAGGCTTCATGTTTGTTCTTTGAATTCGAGTGATCCTTGCTTGTTGAGGCAAGTTGCTTGGTTATGGCTAGCTTGTAGATTTATTCAACAACGCCTCATATGGGAAATATATATCTATTCAGCGATGTCAAAAAAGTTAACCGGAAAATGGGAAGAAACATGTACAGCAAATAAATTATATGCAGAAATAAATGATACAGTTGAACAGAGGATGGGTTGTCAAAAAGACTACTACTAACTGTAGGTAATATCGACACTTCTTCAATCTATACATAAATGTCAAATATTTTAAACTTTGACTACAAAAATGTATAAATTACATATTTCAACTGCGTGATTTGCCCTTCAGACACTTCCATAAATGTTCGTTTTTTCCTAGCGCATTCAGATAAAAGAGATTGCCGTAAAAGAGTAAAATATGACTTAGGTACGAAGCAGGTTCGGTCCTCCAATATTTATCACACTTCAAACACAATTTATGGGGATAACAACTAATTAGTCATCTGGTTCGTTTTCTTAACAAAAATTTACAGTACCTACCAATTTAAGATTGGTAAATTTTGATTTCAAACTGGGATTCCATGATCAAGCGAAAACACAAAATAGAATAATCTTTTTTCAGAACTGAGGCAAAACAGAGTCATTCCTCCAGATCTCGCATCTTCCTCTAAGTAATCGTTTGATTCATTGATGAGAACAAGAAGAATTCGATAATCAGAAGGGAGTCCTTACGATAGGAATGCGGAAATGTCGCCTGCGAAGAAATTAACTCTCCAATGCTAGGGTTTACAGCTACCACCTCGATGAAAAGGAAGGCTAGGGCGAGAGAGAGCATTTACCCGGTGGAAGATTTGTGTTGAGAATACCCGGATGGATTGGATCCAGTCCGATTGTAGGGGATCATCAATGGAGAAAGAGGGAGAGAAAGTTCGCCGTGTGTCATTTTTTTTTAATATTTTTGCGCTCGTGCAGAGGTTTCGTAGAGACACGTTAGGTCGAGCGTATCGGACCGGATGTAAACGCAGTGGCCGCGTGCCCGCGTCAGTGAACCTATTGAAGCACCGATACGTCAAAAACTGGTGTATCCCCGTGCCGGACGGCGCCGATATGCCGATACGCAGGATACGGCGTCGATACGAGTATCTCAGAGGTATCGTGATTTCCGATTTAAAAAGAAAAGAAAATAAATCCGATACGCCGGCGGCACGCCGTCGACACGCCCGAGATACGGGGACGACGGAAGCACAGCCCGAGCCCAGTAGAAGCCCACTCCTAACCCTAGACAGGTACCTACCGGTCCTCATCTCCTCCATCGAAAGACCAGCGACTCGATCTAGTCCGGCGACGCGGTCCTGTGCACGCGCCGCCACCGCCGTCTCGAGTCGCTGTCGCTGCTGCCTGGAGTCCATCGCCGCCGCCACTGCCTCGAGCCGTCGCTGCCGCCGTCGCCGCCACCCGTTCTGAATCTCCATCGGCAGCAAGCAAGGTAACTTTATGCTGCCGCCTGCCGCTCCCGCTGCGTGCTATAGTTAACATGTGCTGCCTTCCGTGCTCCTCTAATTATTGCTGAGTGCCTGAGTTGCTGCCGAGCTGCTGTTGTTGCTGCCATTAATCGCGACTCGCGAGTCACAACTGAAGATATTTTTGCCGCTGACCTGTTGTTGTTGCTGGCTTGTGGCTACTGTTAGGGAGGTAAATTCGACATGGCATCAGCAGGGAGTGGCATGGCAGCCAGCCAATCTTCAGTTGGCAGTGTGCAAGCAACAGTATGTACGCCGATGTCGTAGGTGAAAAGGCTGGGCATGCTTGTTGAGTGTTATTTGATCATGTCTATCCAAATTGACAATTTATAATACTATCATATGATGTATTTTGCATACACCACGAAGATTGAGGACATTATCATCATTCACGACTTGAAAAGAAACATGGAGGCAACCAATGGGGCAGTATTTTTTGATCTCATCTCATGCATTCAATTATTTTTTGTCTTTTTACATGCCATTATATTAATTATTTATATATACTTGCCGTATCGCCGTATTGCTGTTTTTAAAAATTGTCGTATCCTGTATTCCCGTACCCATATCGCCGTATCCATGTCGCCGTATCGGTGCTTCATAGAGTGAACTGAGCAAGTTTCCCCCTTCTTCTTCTTTTTTTTTACTGTACTTTTTTTTGGCACATATCCCCTTTCATTTCAGTCTTGATCCACCACGTTAGTTAAATGGAAACAATGATAAAGAAGCGTGCGTGTTTATTTAAGCCATCGGCGAAGATTAGCCGTTCAACTAGTACTCCCTCCGTCCGGAAATACTTGTCGGGGGAATGAATGTATCTAGACGTATTTTAGTTCTAGATACATTTATTTTTTGCATTTTCCCGACAAGTATTTTCGGACGGAGGGAGTACATCATGAAAAAAAGGATTAGGCCTTCTGAGTGGCGTTCTTAATCATCGGTATGCGAAGCAAAGCTCTTGATAGCATATGGACTTCTTTATCATGCTCGTGCGCTGCACGGCGGAAGGCGCGTCGGCCAGACAAAATTATTGGGCGCACCGAAAATGATCTTCTCCTGGGAAATATCCCTGACACCCTCACCTGAGGAGCAGGAAAAATATAAGCTCTCGATCAGTCTAATGCATATACTAACAGTTAAATCGACCAAAAGACCACTAAAAAAATCGACGGTAAGATGATGAAACGCGTACCAGTTCCGCCTGGGAGCACCTCCCGCGTCTTCTCCACACGTGACTGACATTGTGACTTTGCGACCAGTTCCGCCCAGAAATGAGTTTGCTGGATTGATCGGATCTGTCGATGGAACTTCTCGGGATGCCACCACGGAAACGAGCATGTTGGTCGACAGCAATAGAAAGGCGATCAGGAGCGCGGCTCTGGTGGCCATCTTTCCGTCCTTGTAAGTGGAAGTGGTGTGGTGAAATTAGCAGCTGAACATGCCTTATTTATGTAGTAACGCAAGCTCTTGCTCAATTATTGGCCCTGGTTTATGTGACGCGAACTAGCTAGGTGGAATCAATATCTAGTAGCATCCGCATATAGCCCATGACCACATGGGACTACTCAAAACATACGCTTTTCAGTTTGATAAATCCCACATTGTTTTTCTCCCTTGTGAAAAGAAAATTAGGGAGGGGATGAATACAATGAAAACACTATCAGTTCCAACATCCACGTCCGCCGCAACCTCCCTGGGCCGAAGTCACGGAACATACTTTCGGCCGTCACTTGCTGCTAAGACGACGCCGGCCGCCGGAATTATGTCCACCTTCCTGGCTTTCGCCCATCTCGCACATCCCTGCTGAACTAGAAGGCGACATATGCCGCCACCATCAGGAAACACAATGGAGGCCATCACAACCTCCAAGACCACGCGGGCCAGTTCCAGGCGAAACCGACAATCACCCAACCAACAACCACTCGATCTAACAATTTGGAGGGGGTTGTGGGTGTGGCGGGGTGGGATTGAGATCCTCCGCGGCACTGCATCCTGTTTGTAGTGCAAATGACAAGTGAGGTCGAGTCCGCATGGCAGTGACCGTACTGCACCATATACTACTGCAGAAGATCCTAACCCGACGGGGTGGGTGGGGTGGGGGCTTGGCCACCACCCTGGCCCGAGCCGACCAGGGCTTGGCACCAGAGCGGGTAAGGACGATTATGTCGCCAAATCCGGGTGGAGAAGCGCTCTACCAAGGAACCGATGGGAGCACCAGCAGCCATTGGTCATACTCCTCCGCGGCAAGGCCATGTCACACAATGCGGAGGGCACCGATGAACGGGAAGCATCAAAGGCTCGGCTTCGTTAGTGGACAAGGGGGCTAACACTGGCTTTCGGGGTGTGAGCGATCCTTCTGGGCAAGGTGGATGTGAGGGGTAATCCCCGCTGCCGCCTACCGTAGCGTGGGCTTGCTCGGTGATGGAGTGGGGTGGAGAAGAGGGGGAGGAGTTTGCAGCCGCAGTGGCTTTAACCTAGGGCTCGCGGTCAGGTGTGTCACGCCCAATATGCGACCCTATCCTAAAGGAACTCGAAGGTCCCACCAAGGATAGAAGCGCATATTGGAGACGCTTTGCAAGGTGGATATCATCACATCATACCATTACATAATAGTTGGGGATACATACAAAAGGCATAGAATGCCACATGAATACAACAAACTCATACATAAGAGCTGCATCCGACTACGGATGAAACACAAACAGAAACTCAAACGACATCCACCCTGCTAGCCCAGGCTGCCGACCTGGAACCTATCCCCAGATCGAAGCAGAAGCAGAAGAAGAACTCAAAGCAAGCAAGCGTTGCTCTCGCGTCATGATCATCGCATTACCTGTACCTATAACTGTTGTTGTAGTAATCTGTGAGACACGAGGACTCAACAATCCCATTACCATGGGTATCAAGACTAGCAAAGCTTAATGGGTATGGAATGGGTAAGTAGTGAGGTTGCAGCAAGCGACTAAGCAATGTATGGTGGCTAACTTACGAGTACAATAATAAGATGAGAAGCTACGCAGATGGTCGCAAACTAGTAATGATCAAGAAGTGATCCTGAACTACTTACGTTCAAACATAACCCCATCATGTTCTCTTCTTGAACTCACCCGAAAAGAGACCATCACGGTTGAGCACACGGTTGGTTTTTTTTAATTTGAACCTGGTGTCAAGTTCTCTACAACCGAACATTAAAAATTCACATCTGTCACATAACCGCGGGCACGACTTTCAAAAGTTTAAACCCTGCAGGGGTGTCCCAACTTAGCCCATTATAAGCTCATGATCCGCGGAGACAATCCTCCATCGTGGGACATCCGATCAGACTCGGGGTCCCGGTGCACAAGACATTTCAACAATGGTAAAACTAATCCAGCAAAGCCTCCCGGCGTGCCGACACCCTGATAGTAGCCGCGTGTATCTCGTCTCAGGCCACGTCTGGATAGGCCAGCCTACGAGTAAAACCAGATCCTTGGGTTGCCCCATGGTGGCC